TCAATCATACTTAATTATTATTATAGGACAATTAACAGGAAATTAACTAATTATTAATAAATTTTCATCTTTGGTGTCTGCTGACATCAGATTTTGTGTGAAGCATTTTTGGTATGCGGTTGACATTAACAATGAAATGAAAAAGTTATAATGACAACTTTAATAAATGCATTAACAGCTTTAAACATTGAATGAATTCCATGTATCAACATGCTCTAAATAGAAGTCAACAACTGTGGCATCAAGCTGCTGAAAAATACGTGAAAAAGCATCAAGGACCAATATAATGGAGTCAAACGAGGTGCTACTGCATTGCATAATACTGTACATCATAATCTGTTAACAAGACCAGGACTGTTAGATGAGGAGTGATTTTTGTTCTTTTCCCCTTTAATACCTGTCGGTTCTTTGTTCCACACTCTGCTGGTGTAACTATCGTCCATCAACACCTCTACAATCCCATTATACCCATCTGTCTGATCTTTGTTCCTAAAAAAATGTGTTTGACATTTCCTCAGCAAGAATAACAGCTATGATCACAAGTTTCACATGCAAAAACAGCACTGGAGAGAAACTTCCTGATTGGGAGCACTTCTGATGTTCCGTTTGCAACAGTACTTTGTTCACCTTCTTAATTTCCCTCTTTGCTTTGGATGAAGATCATACAAATATAAATAGTGAGAAGCACTCGTGTGAAGTATATGTAGCCAGCCCTTCCTGTCCGTCAGCGCAGCGTTAGAACTGACAGTACAGCTGTCTTTGTTCTTTGATTAGGATGAATCCTAACAGTTTTTAGACATACCAGTCTCTTTTGAAGACAATGAAGCAGCAGCAAAAAAAAAAAAAGTATTTTTTGGTTTCTCATAGAGATGATAGATTCTTCATTGAAGAACACTTACATCACCTCATCAAAGTGAAAGAATAAGAGATGGAGGGATGAATAAAAAAATGCAGGTGAAGAAAATAGTATGATGGTCATGGTGAAATAGCTGAAAGTTTAAATAGAGAATAGAAAAATGTTTTAATATTATGACATGATTAACAAATACAAAATAAATGTATAGTTCACCAAAAACATTATAATTCTGTCCTCATTTACTCACCTTGATGTTGTTCCAAACCTGTATGACTATTTCTTTGCAACACAGTATTTAGAAATATGTTTTTTTTTTCACTGTGAAAGCTAAATACTGTCGTTTGCATTCTGAAAAAGAAAGAAAGTCACACAGGTTTGGAATGACATTAAGGTGTGTAAATGATTGCAACATTTTTATATTAGGGTATTATACTATACCTTTAAGTATGTTTCTGTGTCTGAAGTTGATATTAATACTGACAGAGTGTAACAAAAAAATTAGTGAAGTAAATAAATGACCACAGGTTGTGGGTATATGACCATACTAATAAATAACACACAAACACATGCCAACCCTTGACGTACACACCGGGTCACAGAGATGCTTCACAACACATCTATCATATAAAGCCTGAAATATACAGGCCTGTCCTTCAGCTCTGGAACACTCCGAAAACACAGTTTCCAGCCCATAAGTGGAAAAGCATTGATTTTATATCTCAGGTAATGGAGTAATGGATGACACTGACATTACAAACATGACAAAAATAAAAGTCAGAACTTCAACAAATTAAGCTTTAGCGTTAGTTCTGGCAGGTCACGTGAGTCAAGCTTGCATCAGCTGATTCTCAGCTGATCACATCTACCTATAGGAATACTACACCTATCGCGGCATTCCTATATAAGCTGTATTCAGTATTATTCAGCAGCTTTTCAGCTTGCTTCGGAGCAAATTACCCTCCTCCATCCCCAGCTCCACCTTTCGCCACAGTCAGGACTTAGCTTTCTGATATTCATTGCTAATCAGACTCCTTTATCTTGAATAAAGTGTTACACTTAAATATCATTGAGTACATTAATGATATCTGCCTTGTTCTGTTCTGTTAACCCTGGGGGGGGTTGTTATTGCTGCTCTCCCTGCTCATTCATGACAGGCTGCATGGATGGGCAGGGAGGTTTTTTGCCCAGAACAGAACCATACCGCCAAACCAAACTTTATGCTAAGTATCTATCATTTTGACGATAGTGGTCCTGACAGAAATGACATTAACATACTGTCTGCAGTGTGAGACACACATTTAGGATTTAATTTTCAAATATTAAACCCTTCAGAGAAACTGAAATGTGACTAATGACCCAAAATAACAACTTAAGATTTTTTGTACTTCATTTTAATTTTTAGTTTCCTAAAGTAATAAATGAATACCAATTTATGGAAATCTATTTAAAAAAAAATAAGCCAAAAATTGCACTGCATGCTAATTCGTAGAGTCTTGGTCTTTTTTCATTTAAATGATTGGAGTAGTGAGAAATCCAAAAACACTGATTTTGCTCGTTATGTTTCCCTATATCAGAATGTTCTGTTTTGGTAATCTAATTGAATCCCACATGTCTGTAATGTCTATTTATTCACAATAAACATGTCTAGAAAAAAAAGTAGATCATTTGTAAAAACAACAACAAAGCAAACTAAAAATGATGGTAATGTAAATGCCACCTGATCTTGAATGTGACGTTCATTTCCTGTTTTTTTTTCACATGAAATTAGCAAAAATGAGAAACCACACACTACCCAACATTACTGCTTATAGCGGTAAATGTCACAGATAACATTGTTTATGAGGGATTACTGAGGCAGGCTTCTGGAAAGCAACATTGACCCCAATACAGACATAGATACACATCACTGGTGTATAAGCCCAGCACTGATAACGCCACTCTAGAGCGAAACACTCATATTTACAGACATACTCGCTGAAACCCTCATGTAATCTCTCTTGCAGGAATTTTGGGGATACTGGACCTACAAACACATTTCACGATTCCATTCTGGAACTCCTTTTTCCTCTCATTTGGTGTCCTCAGCTCAATTCTGAGAGCCTGATGTACGTTCTCCCCTCACATGGCAAATCCAGCGAGGGCTTGATGTGAAGACTCGGGCTGCAGCAGGTTCTGAAGAATATAAACAGCGTTTTTATTGTCCAGAGGGATGGGTGTGTGAAAGAGACGAGGGCCTTATCACAGCCCAGCAGCTCTGTAATTCGCCTCCGTGATACAGCACCAGAGCGGAGAACCTTACACAGCTGGCACAATCCAAAGACGGATTAGTTTTTCTGACATAAGCTTCCTGAAAAACTAATCAATCAGGCCATGCGGCATTATCAGAGGCATAAGATTAAAGGGTGGCTCCTAATCCGAGTACTGTACATTTTTAGCAAATTCTCCACCGCTAGTTTTTCTCCCGTAAATAAATAATGAAATCAAAGCTAATTGCTCACAAAGACAGCGGGAGAGCTGGACGACTTAGCGATAGGGAATTCACTGCGAATCATTATTTTGGCTTTAAATTTGCTCTCCATAAACCATTTAAGTCTGCATATGCAAACATGCCCCCTGAGTAAAGATTTCGGCTGAGGCAGAGTTTCCGATGAAATAACCATGAGGACTTATCTATATACAAAGAACAAAACACCTGTGTGATGCTGGAGTCAGTTGTATGGACATTACACACCACCTTCCTCAATCATCTTCTTTCAAACAACAAAGCGGCGCTCTGTAAAAACTTGAGCTGAGACTGATGGCTGTTATGCTTCAAGAGCAAAGCACAACAACGGGCAACAGAGGAAGTGTTAAAGAAAGCGGTGCTCTGGCAGCAAAGGCCAAATGTGCCAAACTTCAGCCATGCAGACAACAATCATAATGTGTCTGAACGATAGAGTCGTGGGGTTGTGCTCAAGTGGATTTAGTGCTGATCATATTGTTCTCTGTCCTGCTCTCAGAGGTTGACTGCAGCAGATGTCATGGAATGAATAGTTACTAGTGTGAAGGCTCTGACCCTCTTATCTGTCTCCAGGGAGCAGCACAGATGCTGGGCTACTTCTCCAGTATTTGAATCACTGTGTGTGTTAGAGAGAGAGAGAGAGAGAGAGACTGTAGGGACTCTAATCCATCAGGACCCTGCCTTTGGAGGATAGTACAAAAGTGGATATACTCATAGACAGAAGCCATTCCCACAGGTACTGTTTCTCAAAAGAGTGCAATGGACAGCCAAATCTTAAAAATAATTATTAACTGAAAATTGTGCTTGTATGCAGTTGTGTGACACTGGTGATTTTTAAGTGATTTAGAAATTTTCTGTATTGCTTGTCAGAGTAATAAAATTACTAAATATTTTTTCTCCAAAAAACGCATATGACTTGCCTTCTAATCACAATCTACTTGTTACTAAAATAAGACATGGCAAAAAAATTAACTATGAATAATGCAGATCTTTGATTTGTCTCCATAGATAAAAAATATTGAATTCATACTCAGTTGAAATGATTTATAAACTACCTGCAATATTACACTTATTTTGTTTTATCTATAAAAAATCTATTTAAAAATCATTATTCCAATATTTGACCTTTTTTTTTCAGTAACAAAAAAACAAAAACATAAAAAATGGTGTGGTCCTAAATTCAACATTCCTAAATTCGTAAAGCTGATGCATTCAAAATGAAATCCTTGCTTCAATTAGTTTCCATATATTTAACATGCTATTGCACATTTAAATACAATTTAGGTATATCACCTCAGCTGAAACAAATCCTTTTGAAGTCATTAAACGTATGCTGTTAATTCCAGTATCTGAATTTGAATGCGACAGTATGCATGAGAAATAAAAAGTTGATAAATGTGTCTTTCGGCTTTCTACCAGGAAAAGCTAATAAAAATACATTTGAAAGACTATTACATGATTGACTTCCCCACCAGAATGATGCATATACTATTGCATATATTTTAATTTAGTAGCCTATAGTTTCACTAAAATAGACAAGTATAGTGTTCTACACTAAATTTGCTTGACTGGTTTAAATAGTTTAAAGTTTGAACATAATTGCATGCAGTTTTTAAACATGAAAACGGAAAGGATGGTACTCACCTTGTGCAAACAGAAAAGGAGCAAAACAGCTGAAAGAATCTGCATCTTGACTACAGAAAATTGTCTTTGACTCTTAATTGAGGTTGGAGAAGCAAATATCCAGTTCACAGGGTTTACAAGAAGGTTCCATAGCTCTCAACTACCTGCATTAGAAAATGACACGAAAATGAATGCGTTTATCAGAAGATGACTGTCTGAAGAGTTTATGCATCGGATTCCATAAAGCAAAGTGTTTGCTTACCCTTGGCAAGAGGTGTTGATCATGTTGAAAAGTGACGGTAACCAGCGGGGTTTATGACGGCACAGCTGGAGAGGGTCCCGGGGGCGTCAGTGATATTGATAAATGTGCTCGGGACAGGAAAGGCTGCTTTTAAAATAGGTTTTTATTGGAACGTAGTGTCCGAGTGACTGACGGAATCGACGGAACGCAGCGATGACTTACGAAACGCGCCGAGTCCGATCAGTGCGAAGGTGTGAAGCCTCGCAGCATTGCGCGTGATTGATGCGACTCCTCGCGCAGTCCGCCGTGTGTCTTCTTGTTTATGGCAGTTCTGATTAAAGTTTTATACAGCCCCAAAGTAGAGCCGATCTTTTACCAAACGCTCAATATTTTAGTTTGTCGTCTGTAGCTTGATTTGTGAGTGTGTTTGTGAGTGGAGATGTGTGAATCCCTCTTTGAAGTGCTCTTCAGAATTAGCGCCTGCGAGGGACTCTCAACTGAGAGACCAACTGATTAACCCATTGTGGACACGTGTCTGGTTTTTCTGCTCTTTATCAGAGAAGAGGGTTTCTTAAAGTCAGAATAACATAATGACAGCATCACTTGTGTATTCGCATATAAATGAGCCGTGTTCATGTTTTTAAAGTTGATTGAAGATTCCGAAAGCGTTTTGGTTTGAGGTGACGAGCAAAGTGGTGTCCTGTAGAGTTAGATCAAACCGTTCAATCAGTGATTATAGCAAGTTTGTAGTCTTGTTTAATAAGTCTCTTATTTAATGAACAGCCTATGTTACTGAAGGCTGTATACGCTACAAGAAAGAGTCAGACTTGCTGATGCGTTTTACCCAAGATGAAATATATAACTAGTGGAAAACGACAGTGAAGCAGTATACACCCACTCACAGTAAGATGAAAGTGTTGACATTGCAAAAATCGCAAGTGTGCAATGTCCTCTGACTGTGTCTGGAGTTATTTTGTAGTTAAACTGTGAGCCGTGCAACTTCAATGCAGTGAACGCAGTCCTACTGTTCACATGGATAAATGTGTCAGTAGCGCCATCACGTGTTTACAATGCTACAGTGCTGTAATAGCCCTAATGTATCATCTTCAATTATATATCAACTGTTCTTTCGATTAATTCATTAAAATATGTACTAAATTTAAATGTCAAGGTATCTAGCCTTGATAAGTGAAATAGAAATGTTTCCACATTCCTTTAGCCACTCAGTAGCCTGTTCAAAAGTATAAATCAAACGCATTTGCTTAGCTTTTGACATTTGCAATCAAAGAGACTGTGGAGATTTTACCATCAGAGTAACCTTAAAATGTTGTAAAGCTACCTGTTTAGTTACTATTTTCTTAATATCCTGGCTATCTCAAGAACACAGATGATCATTGAACTTAATATCCTCATAACATATCCTGTTACAAATGTACTTTTTCCTTCATTTGTGAAGCACACATTATTACACCAACAATAGAGTAGTTTAGCCATTTTAGCTAACTGATCAAAGTTAACTACTGTTTACAGTTTAAGACAGTAAATACATTAATAAATACACAGCAGTAGATGAACTGGACCAAACAGAAACTGACCTGAACAAATTAAATATGTAACAAATACATTAAACATTTATAACCTGAGCTCTGCATTTATCTTATTTAGTAAGAAAGCCCCATAGTGTCCTTGCAAATATAAATAAATTATGTATGGGCAGCTTTACACACAGTAACAGTTGGCAGTAATCAGGAAAGGGATGAATCGCAAAACTTTGTAACCTTTTCATGTTGACTGAAAATATTTACAATACTTATTTTATATATCTTTTTTTTTGGCAACATGCCAACTTTTGTCAGATAACCACATTGCAAAACATTTCAACCATTTTGGCTCTGTAGTGCAAGCGTGACCGTGCACATTCAAGGCACGTAGTTTGTAGGCAACAAGTGACTGATATGCTTTGAAAACTTGTTAAGCCAAGAGTGAGAGGTTTTAGGAGGCTTTGTCTTCTAGAGGTAACTGGAGTGGCTATATCAGCTCAGAGTTTACCTTCTGCTTAAAAGGGGTCTTTTGGTTACAGTCTCAATTAATAGTTATAAAAATCTATTGGGAAAAGGTGATATAAAAGTCTTAAGGTTTAACATTTTGCTTAGTGCATAACTCAAAGTAGCTGTGAAAGGTCCGCACCCACTGTAGAGTAAACACCAGGGTCTATCTCAGCATGATTCATCATGTCTGGCAACAAGAACAAAACTGTGCAGTTTTTTAATTTTAAGTATTTAACTATAATATTATAGAGGGCAGTTTTAAGTATTTGGACACTGCTTTTTTTGTTTTTTGTTAAAAAAAGAGCAAAAATCTAGGGTTAGAGTGAGGCACTTACAAGGATGTGAAAGGGGCCGTAAATATTAAAATATATAAATAAATATATATGCCTAATAAAATATATCAATATATATCCATAACCATGTTAACATGATTTAAATGTGTTAACATTTACCTTTTCTGTCAAGTCATATATAATTTTACAACTTTACACCAAAAACCCTACAAATAGGCCTACTTTAAAATTATGATTTTGCTGTTACATAAGATAATTATTAGTGTAAGTGTTATATATATTATATATATATAAAATGTAATCAAAATTGGTGCCTCATCATTATCTAAAAGATGAGTGGTTTCTAACAAAAACATTGTTAAAAAAAATGTTCATCTATATGGGCTTTATCTTTGAAAAAAAAAAAGGAGCCACACCTTTGGTGTTTTCCAGTTTTCCCCACACTTCTCTTTAAACTAGTACAGCTGATAATTTTCTTAAGATCATCCAGTTTTATTTAATTGTGATATCTTTCTCAAACATCAGATTTACGACTTTTTACGACTGTTTATAGCAACCAGTGATTTCTCTGCAGACTTTTTTATTGGTTGCCCTTTTGTGTTTGTTGGTTTGTCTCACTTTTTCTCTCACGACCCTATATAATCGGCTAATTTCTTTTTCGCTCTTCGTTCATGTGTAACTATGTTCGGAATAGATGGGCAACAGTATAGCCTACTGTTTGCGAACAGGATTTATGGGCTTACGCCTAACACTTATTTTGCTCGCTTGCTCTCATAGTTTAGTTTATTCAGGCTATCCCTTCACAACCAGTAAATAATTAGTCAACCTGAAGTTGTTCTAAAGTTATATTAGGCTACCTTATTATCTTTTTTTTTTTTTTTTTACAAAAAGAAGAATAAAAAAGCTTGCACTTGTCCACTTCATAAATCGTAACCTTCTTCAATCTTTTTACAACAACAAAAAATTATCCCATGCAACTCGTTCCGTATTCCAAGCGTTCTTAATGTATACGGTATAAAGTGTGTAGAGAAACTAATCGAAAATGTAATCTATTATTTATTATTAAGCTAAAATATCCATTGCATTCGTGCATTTATAGGCTAGCCCAGGGGTTTTCAACCAGCATCTGTCAAGAGGGGCGCGAGCATCAGTTAATTCAGAGACGTTCTCTTGAGAATTTATGAATATGAGTTAACAAATCTTTAGCCATCCACTAGGGGGCAATCTGACTCCCACTGCTAGTCGACAGTTAGAGCAGAGTTGGCTCTAGTATCAGTCACGCTCAGTGTTGCCAAGTCCGCGGTTTTCCCGCGGAATTGGGCTACTTTAACACTTGCCGCGTTTTGTAGTTTTGGGCTAGTTTTGAGTAGCAATTAGGCGGGTTTTGTTGTGAAAACCTGGCAACCCTGGTCACGTTTATTGACAGTGTAAAATGATTTATGATTAGCCATGTCGGAAATCCAACCAGGATTGGCATGTTGTAATCTCAGAAACAGGCTCAGCCATCACATTGAATCAGGTAAACTGGTTATATATTTATGTTTCAGTATAATTACGCACGCTATACCAGGGGCGGTTCTAACCCATTTTTAGATGGTTTTCAGTCCCCCTATCTGTCACCTTAGCCCCCCAAAACTATCTTAACGATCAGGCCAGTGCTGCTTCCTCGAGAAAGTTTTTCATTCTCACGTGTTTTAAGTCTTGTCAGTTTAAACATGAAAGTAATTGTAAGCCATTTAAGCCCAAGACATCTCAATGCGCGAGTGAAATTAGACCAATTTGGGGGGGCGCATGTCCTAAAAGGTTGAAACCCCCTGCTAGCCTACTAGTGCGCGGCAGTTCGCGCCGGTGTACCGACGAAACATGCCGCGCATAGGAAAAGCACACAAGCCAGTCATTTTGAAACATCAAGATAAATAAAATTACGACTTGAAACACAATACTTTCTTCACTGAGGTGAAAATCTCAGTTCTGAGACAGTCAGCCCAGAATGCGCGCAAAGAGCGCTACCTCTATAATCATTAAATCTGTCACACTTCACTTCATGATCACGATCTTGAACTGAATCTCTCTACACTGCACAATGAATCTGTTATTTATATCGTATCTACACTTTTATAATGAAGGGATTCGGGAGCTTGCAGAACTGTAATAGATAAGTGCATAGATAAGATCCCTGAAGTTGCAAAGACTAAAGTCTCAAAACCAAAGAGATATTCTTTATCAAAGTTAAGACTCTGCCACGCCCCCCTAAAACGGCTCATTCTAACACTCCCCCACATATCTACCTCACTATGTGGAAATATTTGCATAATTCGCCCAAATGTGCACGCAAAGAAAGAAGGCGTGGTTTCAGTAACCGCAGTTAGTGTTGAAGCAGCCATGTCAGGGAGACGCTGTGTGTTTCTAGGCGAAAGCAAAAGCACTTTATTTGGCCTTCTGAAAGTAGATGCATTTAGGAATCTTTAAGATTACTTACAACAGAACAGCAATGCATTTTATGGACGACCGTTTCGTGAACCTAGGAGAGGAGGTAATTCTGACTTTGCTATGACAATCTGCCGCTTCTGAATCAGCTACTGTTTTGTTATTAGTTTAAGTATTTGCTATTGACTGTTCAAATGCAGAGTTTTGCGCATCGTGTGTGTGTGTGTTTGTGTGTGTGTGTGTGTGTATGTGCGCTTGCGCACGCGGTGTGTGAGAGAGAGAGAGAGAGCGCAAGAGAGAGAGAGCGCGAGAGAGAGAGAGAGAGAGAGAGAGAGAGAAACACTTTATTTTTTACAAATTCTTACATTCCTAATTAGAACATCACATCCCAATACATCAAAATGCAATTAAAACCATAAATATTATTTAAAAACTGAAGACCACCTGATCATCATGTACAACACATAGAACCTCATTAATACACCAAATTTCACAAAAAGCATTTACATTATTTATAAAAATACACAAAATAATGATCTTTAAAAAAGCATCATATGACCCCTTTAACACTTCTGGTCATTGTGTTCAAGAAATTAACAGATAAGTCTGTGATTGGCTACATTGCTCATCAACAATATCAGATAATCATCAACAATATCAGATGGGCCCCCATCACAGAAAAACAGCAGTGTCTTCAATTTCAGGAATCAGACTTTCAAGAATTTCAGTATATTTCAACTATAAAGCAACTCTAAAATGTATTTATGTTTTTACTCCTGTCTGCTTCTGACCTCGACGGACCGAGAAAAATAATGAATGAGAAGGTGGAGCCCCAGAGCATATTGCATAATCACCAGTGTTGGAAAAAGTTACTTTTAAAAGTAATGCATTACAATATTGCGTTACTTCCCAAAAAAAGTCACAAATTAAGTTACTTAGTTACTTTATATTGAAAGTAATGCGTTACGTTACTTTTGCGTTACTTTTAAAATCTGGGCAGGGCTTGCTTGCTTGTTTTTAATTTAAAAAGTTATATTTTTGGCAAATGTAAAAGCCCTTTCACGCCAAAAGCCTCAGGCTGAAGGAAATGTAAATTCACGTCTGTACAGTAGAACGCAGAAGAAGAAAGTTCAACACTCTTCAGCAATAAAAAAGAAGAAGAAATGTTAGCTTACTTTGTGTAATTTTTGCTTATTAGTATGGTTGAATTGGATCATCGAAGGTCAGCAGCAAATTTGTTAATAAAATGGGATTAAAAACATGTATTATTTAACATATTTAATTATTGCAGCTTTGCGTCATATTCTGAGTTGCTTGTAACTGTTTTTATTAATTTTCAGGAAAACTAAATCAGATTTTTTATTTATTATTTTTTTTGTGAGTGAGATGAATTAAAGCATGTTCACATTTATTCTAGAACTAAAGTAACATCTTACTCCCGATTTCTCTCAACATGGGGACAGGAGAGATTCAATCAATAAATGGGGAAAAAAGTAACTGGCGTTACTTATTTGAAAAAGTAACTCGGATATTTTCTTGTAAATTAAAAAGTAATGCGTTACTTTACTAGTTACTTGAAAAAAGTAATCTGATTACGTAACTCGCGTTACTTGTAATGCGTTACCCCCAACAATGATAATCACCATGGACAATGGCAGTTTGAAGGTGTTTATCAGCCGGCGCAAAGTTTTCCGGTTGGGCTTTTATTTGGTTTGAAGTAGGCTATGTCGGGACTTAACGGAGGGTGTGGTTTTCCACGGATGAATGGACGGCGGATTACACTCTTTTGTGGCCCTGCCTTCTTTTGTTGGCTATAACAACAACTCTTTTAGGATTAAAACCTGTGCAAGTTCATAAGTGCTTTACAGTAGTGATGGAAAAATGAAGCTTTGCGAATTGCGAAGCACCGAGGCTTTCCCCTCAACTGTATCGTAAAAAGGTTCATTACTCGAAGCTTTTCGAGACGGTGCACACTAACGACATCTTGTGGTCAAAAGGTGGAAAAAGCTGCCTTTGCATCCCAGACGACCCAACCATTTTTGGACTGTTTCAGATAATAAATTAGTTTGTCCTATGAAAACCTGTATAAAGCAAAGACAATATGAAGTTTATATAAATAAGTCTTCATGTCAGTCATTGTATTACACAATATGAATAAATGAGTCTGTGAATAAGTTTGTGGAAAAAATATAAGGCTGTATGATCAAAATAACGGAAGGTTAGCATAGAAGATTGGTTAGTTAAAGTGTCTGTGAACCAGGAATTAATACAAAATGATCATGCAGAAAACTACACATGCAAATATTTATTCGTATTATGATTTATTATTTTCAAAGACGTGAGGGACACTTGAAAATGCGCAAGTGGTTCGCGTTATTTGAATAGGCCCTTTCGCATCCCTTTAGTTCCAGAACTAAACGTACGGTACTAAAGTACTGGGACGATTTTGCCAGTACCCAGTACCATTTAAAGGGTTGCATTCTCACCGAGAGTATGTACTAAGAAGTGACGTAAGCCGGTCGACAGCGACGTCATTTGTGCGCGGCGTTCAACAACAGAAACAAAGAACAACGTTAACAACAGGCGAATGGAGGACGCTGTGTTCGGAGCGGCGTTTTTGTTGGAAATTCAAATGCAAAAGGAATTGCGATTCCATTTGAGTTTTGGCAGGTTACATGCGCGACGCAGCGAGAGTGAAAAAGCAGACGTGGTAATTAATATTGCTATTTAAATATGACAGGCTCGTAACTCCTAAGACATGGGAAATACAGCTAAAAATGGACTTTGCTTTTTCATTTGAAATTTGTCAGTCACTGTGCGTTCACGAAAGCGAAAATGCAAACGCTAATGCAGGATTTGCAATTGCATTTGGATTATGTCACAATTTATGCGTCCACATATTGAAAACGCAATTGAAAATACAATTTGCAATTCCTTTTGAAAATTGTCCGGAATATCGTTCCATAACATTCCACTTCAACTGCCACTGTCCTTCACACCACTGATTGAATGGTTAATGTGTGGTTGCTCCTGAGTCTGTTCCCCTTTAGTTCAGATAAAGAATCGCAAAGCATTGCTTCTGTGTCTGGGTTACTGGAGTTATATGCAGTTAAACTGTGGGCACTGGGCAGTGCAACTTCAATGCAGTGAATGCAGTGCTACTGTTCAAATGAATAAATGTGTCAAATAGTGCCACCACGTGTCTAATAATTTTAATGATTTAGAGTGCTGTTCATTTAAATGTGAACTGTTCTTTCAATAGTAAATAAATAAATTAAAATTGTTCATAAAAAGTGGGTATCTGGCCAAAAATTAACTTTAAATACATTGTCAAAGTATTAAATGTTTCTACATTGAATTGTGTTTGGCAACCAAGGCGACAGTGGACATTATCTCATCTAACTTTTAAAGTTTTTAATGCAACCTGTTTTGTCAATATTTTCTCAGTGTCCTGACTGTGTACTGTAAGAAACACCAGATGTTAACTACATTTATATGTTTTTAACTTAGTGGATGCTTTCATCACATACATTTAATTAACAGTAGTAGTTTAACATTTTCAGTTTTCAAACTACTACTACTAAACTACTTTACTTAGTTTTGGCTGCAACCAAGAAAAACTCAACTTACAAATGAATGTTACATGAAAATAACCAGGATTAGGTGTTATTTCTAGCATCATACCTGTGCTATCAGAGCATGAAGAGAACATGCCTTTTGTCAGATAACCATATTCCAAAACATTTACCATATTTGGGTCCCCACTGCAGTGCAAACATGGCCATGCACATTTTATAAGAGATAATAAGTAATCTAACTGGTTGATATTCTTTGCAAAAATGTGCTTTGTTGATGTGCTTTGTTTTCTAGAGTTGACTAGACTAGAGTATTCACATCAACTCACAGTCTCCCCTCTGTCTGAAAGAGGTTTTTGTAAACAGAATCTATATACAATTTTTCTGTTAAATATAAAAAGAAAAAACAACTTGATTATTGTGAAGACTGTGAAGAAGAATATTAGGTGAGGGAAGGAGATAAATTGGTGTCTTAAAGGTACAATTTTTTGAAATAGTATAACAAGCACACTAACTATGCAAAATCCAAACTCAGTGTACAGTCTATCTCAGCATACCCTTTCTATAAAATATTTCTCTCTTTCTATAAAAGTTTCAAAATGTGTACACTGGCACCAAAAAGGCTCACTTTAAAATGTTTAAACTTAATTGCATTAGACATAAAATACTTTTGTTACAAGAAAGTCATTCGAATAGCTGTCATTTTGCCACTTCTGCTGATTTTTCTGCTGCTGCCTGTGGTCAACTGCAAAGAGAACCAGCATGTTTTGGTCTTGCTTTGAATGATTCACCAGAGCACGTTATCTCAAAAAATAAATAAATATATAAATAAAAATAAAAATCTTCGATTTACTTGATTTTAGAAAGACAGACAGACAGCTGCATATTTGCTTAATATCACTCAGCTTTATTCATTTATGAGATCTGGATACTTTTCTCAGGCCACATTCACACGACGCTAGAGCTTTCCCTATCCGAACCTTTTTTTTTTTCTTCTAAAAAAAATTCTGTAAACACGGCGTTGTATCAAGAAATATTTGCGTACACACAAAACCACTGAAACCGACTCAAAACGATTTAACATACATGCCAGACCAGTATGTGGTGCTATAATTCTGCCACAGAGAAACACTAAAAATGAAGTTTTTGCAAACATTTTTTTAGAAAATTGCAAAAAGAGAAGACTTGGAGCATGCGCGCTGTATACAAAATTTTTGCTTTAGTCATTTTTTTTTTTTCTTTAGGAAAGCTAGGCTCAGTAGATTCTGCAGCACGAACACAAGCATGTAGTCCGCCGTTGTTATTGTTGTTGGGGTTACGTGACATAGAGGTGCCTGACTAGGGTCGAGACTTGGGGTGATGATATCAGTTTCACAAATAAACGGATTGGCTGTACGCATGAAAATGCAAGGGTGTCGTTTTTAGATTTATTCACTCTGGGACCCGGTTTCCAAAAATAGCGGTTTCAGGCTCCCAAAACTCCGGATCCGTCTGGACGACACGCCAATACGATACAACGTTTTTAAGTAACGTTATATGGCTAAACGTGTCTCCGTGTGGACGGGCTCTCACTCTGCTACTAAGGGTTTGCTTTGCCACTGAAAGATGAAGATTGTGATCTTTTCAGGCCCAAGCTTTGATTGGTTGTTGAAACTCCCCTTTTAGGATAAAAGGCTCTGCGGGAAGTGCAAATTGTATTGCAGACTTTCAAGCCAAGCTTCTTACCAATACTTTCAGCATAATTGCTTGTAATTATTGCTGATTATGAATGATAGGATTGTTAGAATGACTGCTTCTGTATTTCTCTGGTGTCTTTTTTGCCTGGGATCAGCAGAGGCTGGGAAGTTATTAGTAATTCCTTCAGATGGCAGCCACTGGACAGGCATGAGGTCTTCTAGTGGAGGAGTTGGCCATAGAGGAAACCAGGTGGTGGTCGCCATCCCAGAAGCAAATTTGAGCATGGGTCCAGCACAGCACACCACCACCCTGACATATCCAGTACCCTACACCAATGCCCAGCTTCTAGAGCAAGTGAATGCAGGTGATACTACTCTGATGGGTGCAGATGTATCTTCAGATCTAGCCAGGCTTCAGAATATCATCAAAACTATGGATATGCTTAATGCTCTTATAACCCATAACACTGAGGGTTTGCTCTCCAACAAGGACTTGATGAAGAAGCTGCAAGACTACAACTTTGATGCGATTCTCACAAATCCATTTGAGCCTACTGGAACTATTGTTGGTGAATATCTCTCAGTTCCAGCCATTTATATACAAACAAGCAATCCTTGTGGGGCCTATGCTCTTGCCAGTCAATGTCCAGCTCCAGCTCCAATTTGTCACAGCTGAGTCTTCTAATAGCTATTATTTTGCGACTACTGCTGATTTTGCCTGTGTTGTTATCTATAATTATTTTCAAATGTGAAGAGAACTTGCTAGTATCCTAGGTTAAAATTAAAAACACTTTAAAAAGACCCTTTTTAATAATAAAAATCTCTATATGACCTCTATATGCAACTGGGGGAAAAAACTCTCATTAGGTCTTTTCATGATAAATCTGCAGGGCTTTTTCTCTCTTTTTTTAATTTAAGAGATTTTATATATATATATATATATATATACACCAGTGATAAAATGACTGGCCTGCGGTTGCTTCTGAGTCTCTTCTTCTTGGGTTCAGCTCAAACTGGGAAACTGTTGGTTATACCATCAGATGGCAGTCACTGCCACAGTGAAGATGTTTGCCGTGTGTTGCTTGTTCAGATGCACAGCGGGGAGGCGTTTCCTCATCTCAGCGTGCGGACTCACAGGCACATACACACAGGGCCAAGTTATTTTACGCAAAACCAAAAAAACCCGCAATTGGCAAGCGCGTATTGAACCGGATGGGATGTCAGTCACACCGATCAGTTCAATTTTAGATTGAGAAGGCATCTCTAATATATGTACAGCTGGTTAATGAGAGGTCCAAACTACAAGCACCTACAACAGGGTAAATAAAGGTGCTTCTTGTTTTGAGAGGCACAACTTGGCTGTGAGTGCTCCAATCGAGAGCGCGTATTTAGATAGCATCATGTTTGCAGAGAGAGGCTAAAGGTCGGAAAGCTCTTATATGGAAATGTTTGGGTGTGTTTATGCATAAAACATAGGGTGTGGATGCATTCTGTACTGCTAGCAAAGGATCTTTGAGTATTTATGACAACCTTTAACAGTACATATGTAAGTACATTTTAAGAGAATGTGCTAAAGCCGTTGGTAAATATCTGACTGTTTACACCTGCATCATAAAAGTGGTTTGTGAGATTGTAGGTGTTTTAATTATAAAAGAATGTACTCTGTAATCTTTCTCTCAGCACTTTCTTTTACTCTGAGTAGTGTGCATTTGGCTGCTAAGCCCCTCATGACACAGACCTCTCCTATGTGAGAGTTAATGTTTTTGTGTGACTGCCTTGTGTTCCCATGTATATAGTGAGGAGCTGGGAATAATCACTAAATTTGCCGGAGATGTGAGGCAGTCCTACTACTGGCAATCCATTGTGACTTGCAGAATTGTTTTGAGAGTAGCATGCCACTATGTGCAGTATGTCAAACTGCCCCCTTAAATTCTAGAATGATTTATGGTTTTATAAAAATTTGTGAGGGAAACAACCGTTGGAATGGAATACTTGGTGTAGTTTGTTAAAATTACATAATTTACTTATTTTTATTGATTTATTTAATTTATTCAGTTAAAATGCAATTCATACATACAGTGACTTTAAATGTACCTTGCAATGTTTTAAGTTTTTGAGTTCATTTTGATATTTTTTGGAGGCATAAAGTCAAAAAATGTCAGGATGATACAACTGTACTGTATCATAATGAAAAATGAAAAGAATAAAAAAAAAATTAAGAAAAGGGTTATATTCAAGTCATCACAAAACGGAAGTTCTTCTCTATAAGACGACCCCTGCAGACCCTCTAAATATCAGATAAGCTTACCTTTTTATAAAAAGGCAAGTTAGTTTGGTTCATGTGGTGCAATTCCCCAAAAGCATGATTAACCTGTTGCAGACATTTGGTCCTATTTACCTTTGTATGAATAAAGCTATCTCTAGATAAGTCCCATGACAGTAGTAATCTCCTGAAACCATTAACCCAGAGTTGCATTTAACCCACTTGTCAGACTTTAAACTGCAGTGCAGGGTCATCAAGTGATATCAACACTATCTCCCCTTTTGTCTAGTTCTGAGGTCCCTCCTCTTTTGAAAACATTGCCAGCCCTCTTAAATGTATCATATTTCTGTTGTCTGCTGTATGAATGTTAGAAGGATGGTGAGAGCACTGACTGTTCCCGCTCTGGGGCTTCTAGCTTTGCTATGCTTGTTCTCCTCGGAGCCCGTGCAGGCTGGAAAGGTGCTTGTCGTGCCAGTGGATGGCAGCCACTGGTTGAGCATGAAGATCCTGGTGGAAGAGCTTTCTCAGAGGGGACATGAGATGGTAGTCCTGGTTCCTGAAACCAGTGTTCTGATTGGGAAATCTGGCAATTACACCACTAAGTCTTTTCGTGTGCCGTACACCCTTGCTGAACTGAATGCTAACCTGGACCACATAAAAAATAATACATTTGAGAACCCTCCAAAGTTGACTGATATCTTTGGAAATTTGGGGAACCTGATGCGGTTCACAGATATGCAGGTTAAAGCCTGTGAAGGTCTGCTGTATGATGAGTCCCTGATGAAGAGTCTAAGAGAAACAGGATTTGATGTTTTGCTCACTGATCCTTTCCTGCCTTGTGGCACCATCATTGCTGATTCCTTCTCACTTCCTGCCGTTTACTTCTTGCGTGGAATTCCCTGTCGGCTTGATGAGGCAGCCCCGCTCTGGGGCTTCTAGCTTTGCTATGCTTGTTCTCCTCGGAGCCCGTGCAGGCTGGAAAGGTGCTTGTCGTGCCAGTGGATGGCAGCCACTGGTTGAGCATGAAGATCCTGGTGGAAGAGCTTTCTCAGAGGGGACATGAGATGGTAGTCCTGGTTCCTGAAACCAGTGTTCTGATTGGGAAGTCTGGCAATTACACCACTAAGTCTTTTCGTGTGCCGTACACCCTTGCTGAACTGAATGCTAACCTGGACCACATAAAAAATAATACATTTGAGAACCCTCCAAAGTTGACTGATATCTTTGGAAATTTGGGGAACCTGATGCGGTTCACAGATATGCAGGTTAAAGCCTGTGAAGGTCTGCTGTATGATGAGTCCCTGATGAAGAGTCTAAGAGAAACAGGATTTGATGTTTTGCTCACTGATCCTTTCCTGCCTTGTGGCACCATCATTGCTGATTCCTTCTCACTTCCTGCCGTTTACTTCTTGCGTGGAATTCCCTGTCGGCTTGATGAGGCAGCTGCCCAGTGTCCCTCACCTCCGTCTTTTGTCCCGCGCTTGTTCACTGGTTTCTCGGATAAGATGACTTTCCCTCAGCGAGTAAGAAACACGCTTATGACAGTTTTAGAAAAGTCTCTATGCCACCAACTTTTTGCCAGCTTTGATGAACTGGCCAGTAGATATCTCCAGAAGGACACTACATACAAAGAGCTATTAGGTAATTGTGCAGTCTGGCTTCTAAGGTATGACTTTACCTTTGAATTCCCCAAACCTCAAATGCCGAACATGGTCCAAATAGCGGGCATCAACTGTGCTAAGAAGGGTCCACTGACAAAGGTAAGATGTTAATGAACACAGTCATTCTCAGTTGTTCTATGTTGTCTGGTTCACAAAATGCAAATATTTCACATTGTCACAGACATTATATAAAATGTGTAATGCACTTACTGATAAGACTTTACAGTTAATGCAATGTATGTGAATATATATATATATATATATATATATATATACAGAAGAGGCTCCTCTGTCCTCCACTCGTTACCTGTATTAATGGCATCTGTTTGAACTTGTTATCAGTATAAAAGACACCTGTCAATCAAGATTATTGCAATATAATTTAGATTATTGCTAATCTGTTTTTAACATTTTCAAGTTGTAATGAATTAACAATGATCAATATTATATTATTAAATTAACATTAACCTAGATTTAATCACTGCTGTCATACTGTAAATGTGTATTGCTAGTTACAATTTAACCTTTAAATAAAAATACTTGTACTAATAAACCATTGGATTCCTACATCAGCACTATTGCATTTTCATGGTCAAATCAGAAAGATGATTTGTATTCTGTGCAAATTCATCAGTATAAAAGTTTTTCAGGGTTTTAGAGCGTGTTTGCAGAAGGCTATTTAGACCCTAAGCAAAATATTATTCACTGCATTTTCTGAAAACTAGAGTGGACTACTCTACTCTTACCTGCTATGTAATCCTTGCCCTAAACCTGACAGGTTAGAGTTGTAGGTCTAAGTCAACATACCCTGGTCCTTTTGATGCCATGAATTCTTGAATTTATGTGCAGTAATACTAGAACCTGATGCGTGTTCTTTGAAAGAGCATTTTTAACGTTTACTGTCCCTGGCATGTTACATCACACAATGTTCATTAAACAGCGCCAGGACAACCAAGATCTAATTTGGAATTCTCAGAATTTACTGGAACAAGTATAAAAACAAAATCATAACACTACACGTGTTGTGAATTGGGCAGAAACTTTCCATGGGAAGTTCTCTTGTGTGGATAAATATGAATAATCCACAAACATTTATTAGTGATTGAGACACATATGCTTCAGTGCCATATTTGGACTGAGCACATTCTACTATCTGTAAATATCGCCACCCCTATGAACCTTGTCGTCACTTTTTTTAAGATGGTACTTTAACCTGTGTGGTTACTCTGAAGTGTATTTCTTCCTTAATCTCTTTCAACTGCCACTGCCCTTCACACATCTGATAAAATGGCTAGCTTGTGGTTGCTCTTGGATCTTTTACTTTCTAGTTCAGCTGAAGCTGGGAAACTGTTGCTAATACCATCAGATGGCAGTCACTGGTTAGGGATGAAGCCTATTGTAGAGGAGCTGGGGAGGAGAGGAAACCAAGTGGTGGTTGTCATCCCAGAGGTGAGTCTGAGTATGGGTCCTTCAGAGCAAACCACCACTCTGACATATCCAGTGAACTACACCAAGGCTGAATTAGAAGCGAACTTAGCAGATCAGTTAAACACAATTCTGAGCATTGATATCTCTACAGACCTGGCCAAGTTCCAGTCATTCATCATCTCACTGGATGTATTGCCGATGTTTATTTTGAGGAACACAGAGGGTCTGCTCTTCAACAAGGACTTGATGAAGAAACTGCAAGACTACAACTTTGATGCAATTCTCACAGATCCGTTTGAGCCTGTTGGAGCTATAGCTGGTGAATATCTCTCAGTTCCAGCTATTTATATGCTAATAAATCATCCTTGTGGTGTCGATACTCTTGCCAGTCAATGTCCAGCTCCAGCTTCTTATGTTCCACAAGCTTTTACTCACTTTACTGACCACATGAATCTTTGGCAAAGAAATCTGAACCTGGTAAGGACTCTGCTTCAGCCCATGGCTTGTGGGCGTATGTTTGCTCGTGCAGATGAGATTGCCTCACATGTACTTCAGAGAAAAACATCAATGATGGAGATCATGAGCCGTGCAGCTCTCTGGTTTTTGCGTTTCGACTTTGCTGTGGAATTCCCACGTCCAGTGATGCCAAACATGATTGGAGCAACAGTTAGCCAAAAACCTAAACCTCTGTCACAAGCAAGTCTTCTTGTTCTTAATAAGCTTACTATACTAGTAAGTGCTGTATCTGTAATTTGATTAAAACAACAACAACAACTTGTTTTCTTAATCTCTGTAGTTATCCTGGAATAGAAAAGAGCCAGCAATGTGTAAATTTCCAGTAAGACGGGATAAGCAAGGTTATCAAAATAATATCTGTGAAGAACACTTAAAAGACTTAAAGAACTACAAGTATGGCTGAGAAGCTGTTGCTGATGCCTATAGATGGCAGACGCTGGACCCTACTATGTTAGTAGTGTCTAGTAGTATTATACTCTTACTATACTCTTACTTTTGCTGCTGCTATATCTTTATATAGCAGAAATAGTAAGAGTTGTACGATATTTCAAATTCAGCAATTTAGTCCAAAAGCACTGAGACCTTTCACTTTTGTACAATTGCGCTTGTCTGTGCATTAATGGTGGGGATTTTTCAGTAAGACTCTCTGCAGATTGCTTAGATGCGCCAGTAGGTGACACTAAAGTATATAGAAATAGCCACATTCTTTCATCTTTCATATATACAATTTTTTTTATAACCAGAGAAAAGGAGATAGATACTAGATTTGATGTTAAGTATGGTATGTACACATTCTGAATCTGTACTTTATGATAGCAGCAAGTATCTATGCATATTCATGACAACACTGAAAAGTACATTTAATTTGTTGTAGTTATAAAAGCTTTTAGACCTGCTAGAGCCACTGGTAAATATCTGACTTTTTCCACCAGCATCATGAAAGTATGAAGACTCATCATGTTAGACCATGTTAGACTGTCAAACACATTTCTTTGCTTTAGACTTGGTTTCAACATATTGTTTTTCCTCCATTGTCAGTATTTTAATTATCAGCTCCTTTGTCCATTGCAACATAATCTTTACAATAGGCAATTTTTGCCAATGAATCAAGAAGGATTCAGTAGAGAACAGTAGTGATGGCAAAGTGAAGCGTTCTTAACCAGTGAAGCTTTCAACACAATTGTATTGGAAAAAGGTTCATCACTCGAAGCTTTTCAACACGGTTTATGTTGTCATAAAATCGAATTACACCTTCCAAATTTCTGTGTTCCATTACAGCCGCTGGTTTCACATCTGGTTCTACAACTGATTCTATATTTTATTTTATTAAATATAAATAATGGTCATTGTCAACGTCATTCATTTGTGTCGGTGTAATCATTACACCGACACAAATGAATGACTTTGACAATGACCATTACACTGTAATGGCACTAAAATAAGAAAAATAAATGAAACATAAATTCATAAATTAAATCTGCTATCTGTCTATTATAACTCTGCCTCAGTCTTATTTCATTTGCGCTTAATAATTACGATATTGAAAAAAAAAATGCTAACGCATTATAAAGTAATATAATGTAAAGGAAACGGCGCTGAGGTTCGCATCATTTGAACCAGATAATGAAGCAGTCACGTGGTTTTCAGACGAACGAAGTTTCAAATGTCATAGACCACGTGCTTTTGGCAAAACGAATCAAGCTCTGATATAGTGCTTTGGTCCAGTAGCCCCTTACTGCAGAACAAAGATCCAGGGGGCGTGGTTGGATCCACATCTAAGGGGTGGAGATGGGTGGGTTTAGGGATCAGGTGGTGGAGACGGGTAGGTTTAGGGATCAGGGGGTGGAGACGGGTAGGTTTAGGTATATGTAAGGTGGGAGGAGTTGGATCTGGATCCAACCACGCCCCCCTGGATCTTGTGTTCTGCAGTGAGGACCATCTCCTTTGGTGTGAATTGTGTTGTTTTTTATACAAGCTTCGGAGCTTCTGTGTTGAGTGTAACATCACTAGTGAACAGGTCCTCATGTGTAAAAACATGTGCTCTGTAATCTTTCTCTCAGCACTTTCTTTCATTCAGACTGGAGTGCTTTTGACCACCTCAGCCCTCGTATTTGTAAAAACATTTGTTCATGTTTTTGTGTGACTGCCATGTGTTCCCATGTGTATAGGGAGGAGCTGTGAATAATCACTGAGATTGCACAATATGTAAGGTAATCCTACTGCCAAACCATTGTGACTTGCAGAATTGTTTTGAAAGTAGCATGCCACTATACGTGTCAAAAGGTACAGATAAAAGCAATAACTTAAACCTCTAACAAACTCTGACAAAGGTAAAGATAAAACACATGACATCATAGAGATGACTCCGGCAGACCCTCATGACAGTGTGTCAAGGTCAGAAAGTTTAATAGAATTACTTTATCTCAGGTTCATGTTGCACAGCTCCCCAAAATCATGATATTTATTGAAAAACCTTTTACCATTAGTATATTAATCTACACCATTGTCTCTAGATAACTCCTATGACAGTTCTTATATGCTTGTATGCTCTTGAAATAATTAACTCAGGACTACATTTAACCCACTTGTCAGACTTTAAACTGCATTGCAATGATATCATGTCAGAGAGTAAAAGTCTTTGAGTTCATTGGTTCATTTAAATCATGCCAGTGACCATTCAAAACTCACTCCCCTTTTGTCTAGTTTTGAGGCCCCACCTCTTTTGAAAACATTGCCAGCCCTCTTAAATGTATCATATTTCTGTAGTCTGCTGTATGAATGTTAGAAGGATGGTGAGAGCACTGACTGTTCCCGCTCTGGGGCTTCTAGCTTTGCTATGCTTGTTCTCCTCGGAGCCCGTGCAGGCTGGAAAGGTGCTTGTCGTGCCAGTGGATGGCAGCCACTGGTTGAGCATGAAGATCCTGGTGGAAGAGCTTTCTCGGAGGGGACATGAGATGGTAGTCCTGGTCCCTGAAACCAGTGTTCTGATTGGGAAGTCTGGTAATTACACCACTAAGTCTTTTCGTGTGCCGTACACCCTTGCTGATCTGAAGGACAACTTGGACAACATAGAGAAGAATGCATTTGAGAAGCCTCCAAAATTGACTGATATTGTTGAGAATGTAGGGAACCTGATTCAGTTCTTGAATATGCAGGTGAAAGCCTGTGAAGGGCTGCTGTATGACGAGTCCCTGATGAAGAGTCTTAGCGAAACAGGATTTGATGTTGTGCTCACTGATCCTTTCCTGCCCTGTGGCACAATCATTGCCGATTCGTTCTCGATTCCCTCCGTTTACTTCCTGCGATTGATTCCCTGTTTGCTTGATGAGGCAGCCACCCAGTGCCCCTCACCTCCATCTTTTGTCCCACGCTTCTTCACTGGTTTCTCGGATAAGATGACTTTCCATCAAAGAGTAGAAAACACGCTTATGACAGTTTTTGAAGCTTTCCTTTGCCGCAAGCTGTTTGCTGGCACTGATGAACTGGCCAGTAGATATCTGCAGAAGGACACTACATACAAAGAGCTATTAAGTCACGGTGCAGTCTGGCTTTTTAGATACGACTTTACCTTTGAATTCCCCAAACCACAAATGCCAAACATGGTCCAAATAGGGGGCATCAACTGTGCTAAGAAGGGTCCACTGACAAAGGTAAGATGTTAATGAACACAGTCATTCTCAGTTGTTCACTGGTTGACTGAAATTTATAGCATTTATTTATGCAAATTCATCAGTTTAATACTTCGAGCAGTTAAAGCTTTTAGGCCATATTTGCAGTAGGCTATTTAGACATTTATTTAAAATATTATCCATGATTATTATTAGAGCTGTTGGTCAAATTAGAAGCTGTTGGTCCAGGTCAAGATTACATAATCCATGTTGATATTAGAACATGTGATGTACTCTGTAGCCTACATTTGAAGAGATGTTACATCACATGATGTTCATTAAACAGTTACAGTTACTCAGAGCTTGTCTATACTGACATTGTTGAAGAGTGCCAACCTACACAATCATGAACAATGTTTAAATATCTAATTGCAGTCCACTATGGCCATAGTCTGTACTTCTGAATATGTGTAAAATTCCATTAAACATTGTAACTCTTGGAGAGTCAGTTTAAGAGTTTAGATATTGTGCATGATTTTCTAAAGCAGCATGAATTTAATTGCAGGAAAAGGTTTTTTCTTCCTTTTCAACTTTCGACTATAATCTTTAAGAGGAAGTGAGGTGCCCCTATGTGTTTACAGCATGAAGCACCAGGGGAAAAGCTTTTTGTAATGTTGTGCACTGTTAAGGAAAAGAGAGCTAATTATTATTTTACCAAGAGGTATATCTAATAACTAAAACAATTGAACTCTGAGTGTTAGGTCAAAGAAAAGCATTTGCTAATTGTTGGAGTATGCTGCTTTTGAACGAGTTTGAATATGCAAGTTCATGTGGGTATCTGTGTGAGCAAAACAAAAAAAGGAAGGAAGGAAAAGGGGAGTTTACAGTGAAAGCTTGCTCCATTATGTCCTTAGAACATGATACCGGTGTTCAGTGCTGACATCTGTTCTCTGTGCAGGAGCTGGAGGAGTTTGTGAATGGTTCTGGAGAGCATGGGTTTGTGGTCTTCACTCTTGGCTCCATGGTGTCACAGTTACCCGAGGCCAAAGCCAGAGAGTTCTTTGAGGCTTTTAGGCAGATACCTCAGAGGGTAAGTGAGGATTGATTTTGAAATGCAAACTTGAATGTTACATTATGATGATCGTGTTTGAGTAAGGGTCAAGTTGGGTCAAAGTAAGGCCAGCCATATATTTTTGTGAAACAAAAATAATGTTCCGCAAGTTAATGCATGTCATCATATGTTTAGGACTGCATGGCTGCATATTATTAACCTTCATGATTTTTTTTTTATTTGTAGGTGCTATGGAGGTACACTGGACCAGTCCCTGAAAATGCTCCAAAGAATGTCAAACTGATGAAGTGGCTGCCACAAAATGATCTCTTGGGTATGTGTATATTCTCCTTTGACCCTCTAACCCTCCTGGGAGACATTTTATTTATAGAAATGAGATGTTTTTGGCATTGCTGAAAAGAGTCAACGAATACATGATGTTTGAATTATCATGCCATATTATAATTGACTACAAAATCAACTGCTAACACACTAATACACTGAATGTGTTTTCCTTTACATTGTAGGCCATCCTAAGGTTAAGGCTTTTATTACACATGGTGGATCACATGGAATCTATGAAGGAATCTGTCATGGGGTGCCAATGGTGATGCTTCCTCTGTTTGGAGACCAAGGGGATAACGTTCATCGCTTAGTGTCTCGAGGAGTTGCAGAAACCCTGAGTATCTATGATCTGACCTCAGAAAAACTACTGGTTGCATTGAGAAAAGTCATCAATGACAAAAGGTAAACATAAGAAAAATGTTCAGCCTCTGCATGAAATCAATTTATGCACTAATCAATTTATATTCATGAAATAGTATTGAACTCAGAGTGGAATATTAGACTGTAAAAATGACTTTTCAAAGTTGTATAAAAGAATATTGGAGTAGCCTATGTATTATATAAATAAAAATTATATGTGAAATTTACTAGCAATTTCTGAGTGAGAATCGTTTCTAAGTATATCATCCACCAAAATGTTTTCAGTGTGTAGATTATTGTAAAGACTGCAGTCCTTTTGTATACCTACCACAAAATGTAAACATAATTACTCCATCTTTGACTCCACAGCTACAAGGAGAAGATGACAGAGCTTTCAGCTATTCATAGAGACCGTCTCATTGAGCCTCTGGACCTGGCTGTGTTCTGGACGGAGTTTGTTATGAGACACAAAGGGGCAGCGCATCTCAGACCTGCAGCCCACGAGCTGAACTGGATTCAGTATCATTCTCTGGATGTCATTGGCTTTCTCATTCTCATTCTAGTGACTGTTATTTTTGTGACTGTCAAAAGCTGCATGTTCTGTTTCAGGAAATTCTTCAAGAAAACTCAGAAAAAGAAGAAGGAGTAGATATATTAAGACAATTTTTGTTCTTTTTTCGTGGGGTGATTGTTTAGAGCAGGGGTCACCAAACTTGGTCCTGGAGGGCCGGTGTCCTGCAGAGTTTAGCTTCGACTTGCCTCAACACACCTGCCTGGAAGTTTCAAGTACCTAGTAAGACCTTGATTAACTGGTTCAGGTGTGTTTGATTAGGGTTGATGCTAAACTCTGCAGGACAGGTCACTTAGGCAAAGGTAGGTGACCGCCTTGGGCCCCCAAAAGCCAAGGGCCCCTTAAAATACTTTTTCATATATGAGATGCGTGTTCAGTGCGGACGCAGAAGTGGATGCCTTGATGTTCATTACCACGACAACCATCTGTGCGTCCACGTTGAACGTGCTTCTTGTAGCAAATGTAGGGCCCTATGAATTTCCCGAGTAAATAGTATTTTTTGCCATTTAGTATTCACATACACTAGTCCATAATGCAGTCTGATTGAAGTATACTGACATGCATTTGATTTATTCATTCAAATTTGGACAAATTCCTTGACATTCCTCGTTATACAGTAAACTTCTGTTGTGTAGCACTTTGAATGTACAAAATTATAGGGTTTATTTAATTTCATTGGAACAAAAGATTGATTAATGTTTTTGCCATCATTTGATTACCAGAAAAAAATTTAAATACACAACACAGAATTCTAAAAAATAAATAAATAAAAATAATTTAAAAAAAAATTCATAAGGCCCTATTGTTGTATAAATAGTAATTAAATTTAAGTTTGGGCTCTGTTGTTAACTATAACCTTATAGTGATGTAAAAGAGCTCCCTATAGTTTAGATCAGTGATGGGTAAACTTGGCCCTTCCAGGCCACTTTCCTGCAGATATTTGATTCAACCCTGATATGACTCACCTTCCTGTAGCCTTCTAGTCTTGAAGACAATGATTAGCTGGTTCAGGTGTGTTTGATTAGGGTTGGAGCTAACCTGAAGGAAAGTGGTCTGGAAGGGCCAAGTTTGCCCACCCCTGGTTTAGAGCATAAGATGAGGTAGATTTTTATCCTGAAGAAAATTTGAATTATAACGGAATTTATTTAAAGAAAGAGCAATTTGTTCAGTAAAGAATTTTATGTTTAGTTTTTCTCCCTGCTGTACCGAAACTGTACTGAATCGTGACATTAAAACTGAGGTACGTACCGAACTGTCATGTTTGTGTACCGTTACACCCCTATTGTATACAAATTAATAAATTAAGTTGTTTTTATGAATTCAATTAATTAGATATGTTTTTGATTAAACCATTAAAATGGAATACAGATAATTTAAATGGAAAGCACAGAATATGGGCCCTAAGAATGTAATTTTTCTTTAATTTTAATAAACTGTTGTTAAACAAGTTTAATGATTTCAGTTAAGTAGACATGCTTTTTGATTCAAATTTAATATAACCATCCAGAAAAATAAAAACCTGGAAAAAAAACTTAATTAGTGAACAATAAAACTGATTTCATAGGGCCCTACTATGGGATCAGATTCCCGTCTAAAGTATTGCAGTCACGGATAAAAAAAAATAAGCGTGAAAACAAAATTTAAAAACGCAAGTAAAAATATATTGCACAAGATTTCAAAATGAAAGCAAAGTTTTCAGTATATAGCAAACAATGGTCACGGATAGAAAAATAAGTGTAAATCAGAAAAATTAATAACGCATTTTTAAAAAGTAAGCATGAATCAAAACTATTTTAAAATCATATTGCACAAAATTGAAATATTAATGCAAAATTATCTGACTTGCGCACAAAATCAAATTGTCCTTGTTTATATTTCTCAGTTTTTTCTGCTCTCAGACATTTTCTGCTCATATTTTAATTTTTTGTATGCTTATGCTGTTTTCTGCGCTTGCTTTTCCAAATGTTGCGGTTAGAGTTTCATGTAAATCAGGGTGTGTTTAAGCATCATCATTGGTCCACTAGTTCTTGATTGACAGCTCCTCCTCTAGCCAATCAGTCGAAGAGGGGCGTTGACGTCACTCCAATGTGCCTCATTAACTGCTGATGCTCAGTGTTGTTCACTTGCACAGGTGATAATGGATAACTGTCAGCTGGGAAACATCTTTCCATACAGGACACGGTTATATGTGTCTGTTGCCTTGTCCAAATACACACACTTGTGGTCTTTGCACTTGACCACTTATATGACATATTTGCTGTATTTGGCCCAAGTGTTCAAGTGAGCATGAAGACCACAAGTGTGTGTACAACTTTACATTGCCTGATGGGACACACTTATAGTGTTGTAAAAACGCAAAGTGTTTACAGAGTTTTATTATTATTTTCAATACTTTGCATTTTAAAATCAACTTCTAAATGTCTATATAGTCCTAAATGTCCCTATAGATGACACAATTTAATTAAGTGATAAAAAGCAGTTGCAAATGTTGTACAAAAATAAATATACTAATCTTTGCAGCAATAAAATGTGTGGCACTTTGTTTTACTACCAAATTATATGTAATATCTTATTATGAATAATATTTAACTTACATTGGAAAGGTTTCCGTGACCTTGGCAAAAAGTCTCACAATTTATTTCCAGAACATGATGCATGATGGGATACACTAACCCTCAAATAGCGCTCCGGCGCGGTATTCGAGATAGTGTGGGTTTAGTGTGTGTTAAGGGCACTGCGCTTTGGTATTTTTAAGACCTGGGACAGTCGCACGCACGCGCTCTCAAGTGGTCAAGACTGCAAGTGTGGGTACGTGAAAACAAAATTTAAAAACGCAAGTAAAAATATATTGCACAAGATTTCAAAATGAAAGCAAAGTTTTCAGTATATAGCAAACAATGGTCACGGATAGAAAAATAAGTGTAAATCAGAAAAATTAATAACGCATTTTTAAAAAGTAAGCATGAATCAAAACTATTTTAAAATCATATTGCACAAAATTGAAATATTAATGCAAAATTATCTGACTTGCGCACAAAATCAAATTGTCCTTGTTTATATTTCTCAGTTTTTTCTGCTCTCAGACATTTTCTGCTCATATTTAAATTTTTTGTATGCTTATGCTGTTTTGCTTTTCCAAATGTTGCGGTTAGAGTTTCATGTAAATCAGGGTGTGTTTAAGCATCATCATTGGTCCACTAGTTCTTGATTGACAGCTCCTCCTCTAGCCAATCAGTCGAAGAGGGGCGTTGACGTCACTCCAATGTGCCTCATTAACTGCTGATGCTCAGTGTTGTTCACTTGCACAGGTGATAATGGATAACTGTCAGCTGGGAAACATCTTTCCATACAGGACACGGTTATATGTGTCTGTTGCCTTGTCCAAATACACACACTTGTGGTCTTTGCACTTGACCACTTATATGACATATTTGCTGTATTTGGCCCAAGTGTTCAAGTGAGCATGAAGACCACAAGTGTGTGTACAACTTTACATTGCCTGATGGGACACACTTATAGTGTTGTAAAAACGCAAAGTGTTTACAGAGTTTTATTATTATTTTCAATACTTTGCATTTTAAAATCAACTTCTAAATGTCTATATAGTCCTAAATGTCCCTATAGATGACACAATTTAATTAAGTGATAAAAAGCAGTTGCAAATGTTGTACAAAAATAAATATACTAATCTTTGCAGCAATAAAATGTGTGGCACTTTGTTTTACTACCAAATTATATGTAATATCTTATTATGAATAATATTTAACTTACATTGGAAAGGTTTCCGTGACCTTGGCAAAAAGTCTCACAATTTATTTCCAGAACATGATGCATGATGGGATACACTAACCCTCAAATAGCGCTCCGGCGCGGTATTCGAGATAGTGTGGGTTTAGTGTGTGTTAAGGGCACTGCGCTTTGGTATTTTTAAGACCTGGGACAGTCGCACGCACGCGCTCTCAAGTGGTCAAGACTGCAAGTGTGGGTATTTGGACAAGGGGTGTCTGTCACTGCTGTAGGCCTACCTGGCGATCCATTGTGGTTATATTCACCTGTATTTATTCGCCTATGGCCACATCGCAAAAGGGAGCAGCCACAATATGCACCGGCCTCGCAAAGTCACTGATGTGCCTGGCTCGCCTTTACCTGACTGATAATAAATCTTATGGTTATTACTGTTAGGAGAGGATGATATGAGTAAGAGTAATACATCCCAGTCACAATTGTTTAGTTTGCTGTATTGCTCGTAATTGTTAACTGTCTGTAGGCAATATTTTGCTTATTTTTTATCATGTATTGTTTTTTTGTAAACAGCTTTGCAGCTTTTTCTTTCATGTACAGTATGTAATTGACAAGGTTGATGGTTTTGTAAGATTTAGTACATTTTGTGTTACTCTGAGATTATAAAATTACATTAAGCAATGTCACGAGGAAGAGTGTTTTCCCCGGCTATCAGCTCCACTGAAAATCTTTATTGAACTGTAGTATAAAATCAGTATAACAAGAGGTACATTTTGAGTGAGTTTAATATTGTAAATATTTACTAATTTTGCACTATTTTGATGAAGATTCCAAACAAAGCCACAGCAGAACAGTGTCCTATAAGCAACACAGCAGTCTTTCATATTGAATGATTCACTTTATTCTTCACTGAATGAATCTGCCGTTTGAATGAATGATTTAATGTCTAAAGATACTTGCCGCCACCTGCTGGCTGTTTTACTTTCATTTTGTTGCTGTATTCTAACGTTATATATTTAAAACTACCAAAAGGAACAAACTTACAAAGTCAGGAACACATCAACTCTACAAGAAGCTCTCTTTGAGGAGAACGGAAAAGAATGACAGCTTCAGCTGCATGTTGCCCACACACACCTAACAATGGCAGCTAAATAATGATTCAGTGCACCTGAGGAGACTTGGCTTCACCCATGGCTGGCTAGGTCATGTGACCACCTGGGAATTCTCAACAGTAATTGCTCACAGTAATTCCATTAGCAGTGTACAATTTCACTCTAAATCTAATGCAGTTGCCTTGCTGTTCCTACAGAGGGAAGTCTCAGTGTTGGAAACTGTGAGCCATGCAAGGTTTTGGATTGTAAATTGAATAACCAATCATGCCAAACATTATCACAATTTGGAAGATTACCTGATCAAAAATGCTTCTATCCCTATAAGTATACATGTTGATAGGCCAGTATTTTAATGCTCTTTGATTTTTATCTTCAAGCTCAGGCTTCACTTTTTAAAAAGAAACGTTTAAAAGAGCACAATTTGGAAGCTGGTATGTGTTTGCAGTACACAAGCCACGGTTAAGACAGCTGACTCCACTGTGATGTGACGTCCCCACCCCTCCCCCCCTCGCCTCGCTCTCTCTCTCTCACACACACGATGCGCAAAACTCTGCATTTGAACGGTCAATAGCAAATACTTAAACTAATAACAAAACAGTAGCGGATTCAGAAGCGCCAGATTGTCATAGCAAAGTCAGAATTACCTCCTCTCCTAGGTTCACGAAACGGTCATCCATAAAATGCATTGCTGTTCTGTTGTAAGTCATCTTAAAGATTCCTAAATGCATCTACTTTCGGAAGGCCAAATAAAGTGCTTTTGCTTTCACCTAGAAACACACAGCGTCTCCCTGACATGCTGCTTCAACACTAACTGCGGTTACTGA